GCGGGATTTTAGGGATTGATCTATTAATTTATCTTTTGTTGGTGAGTTACCTAAAATATTGCCCTTTTAATATTAAAGTAGGTTTGGTGGTAATTGATAACATAAAATACAGTGATATTGATATTTTTAAAGAAAAACTGTCGTATTTTCAATTCCGTGAACATCTATTTGATTTATCTCACTAGGACAATTCTACTTGTACATAGGGGGTGCCATAAGGGTTCACATAATGGCCAAATGGCACCCCCCTATTGGAGGGTCGGCTTGGCCCACAGTAATTGATAACATAAAATACAGTGATATTGATATTTTTAAAGAAAAACTGTGGTATTTTCAATTCCATGAACGTCTATTTGATTTATCTCACTAACTCTGTGTATATAATACATATGTATGTATCTAAGATCGATCCTCAACATTTCAAATAAATTGAAAATTAAACATCACTATCTATAAAGAATTTAAAATAGAAATTGAACGACTTTGAGTCTTGAAGAGTTGGCTTAGTAAAGGTAAATCCAACTCGGTAGACTTAGAATGGTAGAAACTTGACGGGTCACCGAAGTCACTTTTCTCACCGGAAGGAACACACAAAGCATGCAGCACCATAGGGAATTCCCAGGCCCTCTTTAGTGTGGCAATGGTAGCTCAGCCCCAGCCACCGGGCCAGAATCTTCAACGCTCCGTGAGAACTTCCATTTAAATTTATTTGCAATTTGATCACTTAATTTATATTTATATTTTTATTTGACCATTCTATCCATTTATAACTTATATTTTTGACATGGACAACCGTGTGAACTGATGAACTTACCAACCTTGATTGTTACAAATGGCGAAGACTTTTTTGATAACGCGTACATTTGACCACTTGATGAGTTAGGTCACAAATGTCATTGCCCAATCATGAATTCTGTGAGTTTTGATAGTTATTCGAAATAAAAATATTAGAGGTGCGATCAACTTACAAAATGTATCAGCCCAACATGCGCGCATGAACTTTAAACCAAGCAAATGTTAAGAATTTTTCACAAAAAAGAGAAACTCTCTTGTAGAGTTCAACCCAATACTTTTTTCCTACATTTTCTTGAAAGTTGATGATCAATCATAGCTAAGATTTGACATCATTACGAACATCGTAGCAAAACAAGGTTTGTTATTTCTCCCTCGAAGAGCTTCTGGCCTCACCCCTCAATAACACTAGGCTCTTTACATGGATGAGATCAGAAGCCATTGAGGGAGAGTAAACAACCATTGCTTTGAAAATCTTCTTCTTTTTCTATGGTTTATGCCTTGCTTGATAGAAAGAATTGGACTACATCCATTTATATAGTTCCAAGATAATGAATTTATGAAAAATGAAAAAACATAAGGCCAAATTGGCGGGGTCTCCATATCTTTGGTACTTTGGCATTATTTCCAACACCAAATCTCATTGGCTAATCTTTTGAATTAGAAATATCATTAAAAAGTAGCCACAAAATCAAATTTGTATGGAGTATATAGATATACTCGACCAACAAGATTAAAGAATAAAAAGTTAGAATTTTATATGTTATAGTGTTTGTATGTATCGCCGCTTTAAACATCGACGAAATTGTAGTATTTTCATTTTTTCCTTTTTAATATTATAAAATATTATCCATTCATCTTATCTAATAAGTCATTTTTACGATCTTTAAGCTGGAACGACATTACGGGATGGAATTGAGAAAAAAAATATATAAAAAGGTTCAAAGTCTTTATTTATTATTTTCTATGGCCCTGTTTAGTATTGTATATATGTAAAGAAATTTGACCCCTTAGACACATTAACAAGGCAATGATTATTGATTAAACAAAAAACATAGCAACTTTTAATCCTCAAGGCATCTTTAATATTGCTCTTGCTCCTCGTGAAACATTAATCTCTTTTGTTGACACATATTTGACATTCTTCTATTATTGGTTTCCACTTCTCCCCTTTTAGTATCTATATATTCGGTTGCGTATCTTACCAATTGGATAAGGATAACTTAGTTGAATTTTGGGAAAAACAATCGACTAAGTGCCGCACGAGGACAAGCTAAAGTTCTTGTACCGTAACAGGGGGCTTTCAATCACATTTCTAGTCAAATGTTAGGGTTCCGCATACTTCTTGCTTAGGGAGCCTCTACGATTGACACACAAATGTTTAAAAACACGTAGTCACACGATGAGATCCTTTTGTGATTAACGTGACATCTAGGAGAACAATAATTATTTCAATGCGCAATAACCATCATTCTAACTTCCTTACTTTTTGTACCACATTCCTCCAATATTGATGTATTGATTATTTATAATGAATATATTGTAAAGAACTGCCTATAGATATTATGGACTTTGGTGTGCAAATACTCTTTTGAGTTGGGTAATGGTTATAATGCCTTTTGAAAACTTTGTCAAACAAAAGCTGAAGTCGCAGGGTTATGATAAGCGGTTTTGACGTGGTACAATATCGCATTAATTTTTAGTTGGAACTGGAGATAATTTGAGTGTTTCGAACGGTAGAGGTGTAGGACTCACGCCAAATGCCATTTCCCAATCCGACTTTTTGGCGCGAAAATCAATTAACCCTAGTAAAACAAATTAGGGGTTTCAATTTCGTAGAGCTCGAAACTCACTTCATTAAGCTAGTGGATTTTCACACACTGCATCAAGAATGGCTACCACACGCGCTTCGAAGCGTAGGCGCACGAACCTGAACGAACTTAAAGGAGAAGAAGAAGAAGATAAAAAGCAAGAAGAAATAATTGAAACTTGTAATCGAAAAACAATTGAGAAGTTATCGACGGAGGAGAATAAAGGGAAATCACCTTTGGTTGTCTTTGCTCATGGCGCTGGTGCTCCTTCATCCTCTGATTGGATGGTTAGGTTGGTCCCGTTCTCTCTCCATGTATATGTGAGGTCGTGTATTGATTTTCATATTTTGATGATTATGCTTTCTTTCTTTTAGATTTAAGACAGTTTAGTTTATAATTGTGAAACATGAATTATTATTATTATTACTACTACTACTACTTTTAAATTTAGGCATATCTCGTTAGGAAATTGAATGCTACGGGCAAGAAAGATTCCACTGTAGTATGAGAATTACAATCTCTATCTAAATACAAGAAGATAACAATAATTAATCTCTATATGAGAAACTAAGTAGGCACTTTGGAGAAACCAATATTTTCTACAATATCAAAAAGACTTCACTCTTTGAATTGTGATTCACTTGTTGATAGGATGCAATTCGCTGTAAAAATCCTCTATCTATATGGAAAATATAATGTTCATTAACAGTTTCCTATTGCAATTTTTCAACAATGAAATTGTATCTGTACACTAAGAATTCAACAATCAAATTGTATTGAGTGAAGAAATCAACATCCAATTTAATGCACTGCAGTTCATCATTTTTCCCCGTGCACAAAGTGAAGACTTTTACATATTGAGCCAAATGACATCCAATTGATGGAGATTAAATAAGATTTTCAATAGATTTTGATAAAAGTGGATTAAATGTGTGGTTGAAAAGTTGTGGATCCCATGAAATGTGTGGTTAAAATTAATTGTTGACTTTAACTTAAATTAAAATCTGGATTTTAATTTCTACCAAACAGGGTCTTAATATCTTCATCCATTTACTGTTCACAAATTTCTCTCTGCAGTTGACATGTGCTTTCTTAGGGAAAATTTCATTTTAAGATGATTGTTCGAAATGCAAGACATTTCTTTGAAAGAGTTAGTTGAATCTTTGAAGAGTAGTAACAGTGTGCTTGTGTTGCCGAAGTACTAGAAAATGAAAAGAATGGTTTCTGTACATGGGCGANGGGGGGGTGGAATTGAAATGGGTTGCACTTTGAAAACATATGAAGGTAATAAAGAAAGGTATCTGCTGTATATTTTACCAAGCTTTAAATGAGTCTTAAAAGAATGAGAAGAATTAGCTACTCTATCTATTTCATAAAACTGCATATGGTTCTTGTGCTGCATTTTACAAAAAATTGAATGAAAAAAAAATAAAAATAGGGAGCCTGTTCTGTGAAACTGCTTATGGATTTTGTTACAAGTTTTTGCTTTGTTCAGATGGAAAGGCATGTTGGCCAAGGCATTGAATGCTGTCGAAGTAGTAACTTTTGACTACCCTTGTAAGTTTATGCTTCTACCACTAGTCTCATCTCTCTCTTTTTTTTCCTTTCTCTCATCTTCTCCAGCGATTCAAACTCTTTGACATTTATTTGTACAGGGTGAGACAAATGGCATTCGTCTCACAGGATCATAAATAATAAGTCAAAAAAATTCTAAAGATAATTTCCATTATAATTCTTAATTATATAATTTTTAAAATCTTACAATTATTTTGACTGCTTTAGACGTGTAAAAGAGCTCGTGAGTTTGACCATTTGAATGTTGCCAGATATTGCTGGAGGAAAACGGAAGGCTCCTCCCAAGGCGGAAAAATTGGTTGAGTTTCACTCCGACATTGTCAGAAAGTCCATGGCTAAGTACCCTGGCCATCCACTGATCTTGGCTGGGAAGTCCATGGGATCGAGGTAATGGTTACTATCATTTCCGAAAATCTTTGTTTGTGGTATTGCAAAATGATTATTTTCCGAAAATAACTTCTCTGAGTAAATTTTCTGGTGTTTAGTGGGAAAAAAAAGGGATGAGCGTAGGCTTTGTTCTGTTGAGAGTTTTTAGTTACTGTAACGCCCTGAAATCTTTTTAACCTTTTTATAGACTTCGAGTGTTACCAAAAAAAAAATTTTCTTTTTCTTATTGAAGCGGAAACACACTTTTGTTCAAAATTGACGACTGACCGACAAACCGACCTTATTAGAACAACAAGTTACGTACTACAATTTCCAATCATAACTTTGAAATTTAAAATAAAACGTCAAGTGCTTAACAGAAAGAACTATTAAAATAATGAGTACCACATTTAACATAAAAATGTCCTTCAAAATAAAATTTGCAATTTATTATTCTGGCTTTTACTCGGCGATCCCATAGGCATCACTCGTCAATCTTCCACGTCCGCACGATCCGTTTAATCTGAAATGTTAATGTAAGAATGAGTATTTCGGAAGAAACACTCAGTAAAAATACGTGCATATCCTTATTAACGTGATATAAACGTAAAAATTAACAGAACATACCAACATTTCTTATATTTAGAGCAAACTGGTCGCGACATCCAATAGCTCAAGGAATTACTTAAGAATTCCCATATCCCGTAGGATTTAACATATTTGACCAAACGGTCCATCCCGTAGGATTTAACATAATAGTCGACCCGAAGGCCTTAGGAGTATATCATGTCAAAATTACATAAATATCAAGAAATAAGAATTTAACACTTTGCACAATGTATTCTTACCTCAACTGGATACCAAGTAAATCTGAAATGTAATTTAGAATGATAATATGTAAAAGGATAGAGTGTGTATTAGAAAGGAATTTATGAAATTTCTCAAAGAAACACTCTCATCTCACACCACATATATATACATCTCCCACACGTAACTCCAAGGCAATTCCAAAGATTGATCAATAACTCCAATCAATGCATTCAAGTTAATCAAGGTAATGGATGTTAATTAAAGTCATTATCCTTGGTTAAATGGGATTTATGAGGTTTAAACTTTATTACGTTTTGTCCTTTTAAATTCTTTTTATAATAATAAAATATTATGGTGGCAAACATTCTTTCCGACTAAAATAACTCCGACACAACTAGTTTAGAAATATTTTTTTCTTGATTCCGAATTATTTTATTTTTTACGAGCTACAAAATGAGTATAATATCGATATATATTTTTCAATAGCTAAAATACACGACTCAAGTAGTTTACGATAAAATCTAAAAATTATACTTAAGCAAAACAAACCATTTACTAAAATAAGTGGTACGAGTATATTGTTCAACTTTTGGACTTTTAGTGTGACGACCAAACTAAACAGGGACTATTCATGTGCTAAATGTCAAACCTCAAATTTAGCCCATAGGGAAATACAATAAAAATCCGAGGTGTTACAGTTACACTTGTGATGTTCAATGCTTACTTCACTCAACTAACTTTTCCTTTTGAAGAAAGGGTACTCCAAGAATCTTGTTTCTACAAAACTTCTTTTTGAGGTTTTGTTTATGTTTTTTATATTGTAAGCATCAAACAAAATCTTTGGATTGAAGAAAGAGGATGATTCACAATATAGTCGACTCCACTTGCTGAATTTTACTACTGTTTATGAAACAATGATCATGGAGAAATTTGGGCTAAAAGGCTGAAGAATACATGTCGCACTGGCACTGTTCCTAATTTGTATCAATTTAGTGCATAGAGTCCTTTTTGTACATGCAGGGTCAGCTGCATGGTAGCAGGTGGAGAAAATATAGCTGCTGCAGCTGTTATTTGTATGGGATACCCACTAAAGGTTTGTCAGTTTTTTCATCTTAGTTTGTAGTTTATAGCTTCTATCTTGCTGCGCGTTAGCCTTCATGCTCATGAACGTTCCTTTTCAATGCTGTTGATCCATTAAAACTTAGAACTCTGGTCTCTTGCTTGTTCTTGTTAGAGAGGGACAACATGTATTCATTTAAATCTTATCTTCAACACTTCTATATAGTCTGCAAATGGAATAATGGGCTAAGAATGTTTGATCCTGCATCATTAAGATTTCTATTCTATTACCTATGTACATTGCATAAATTCTTCTTTGTAGGGAGGGGTGGGTATGTGTAGATTTGCAGATTTTGAAATCGTTACATCCTATATGACATTTCAGGGCATAAATGGTGCAGTTCGCGATGAAACGCTGTTGCAACTTACAGTCCCTGTTATCTTTGTGCAGGTAAAAGCATCTAGTTTTTGTTTACGTTCACTGAAAGAGCATCTACTATAATGCTTGCATTCACAGAATATGACACTCCAAAAAGTAAATTACTTCAATATTCGGTGTTTCACTATGTTTTAAGTTGGTAAATGGAATCTTCATGCCACATATAAAGTTAAACCTGTATTATACTTACTGATTCAAAAATATACCCAACTTTATGTTGGGACTTAAACCGGTCGGAAAGTGAGTATTAACAGTCCCACTTTATTTTATCTTCTTGCACTAAATTGCGGATTCTGCTAGAATTTTGTTGTGCTATTTAAAAGTCTCCATTTTTAAATATCTAACATTGGATCGATATCCATTCCTTTTTGGTGGAAGATATAAGATGCTATTGTTTGTGTAGGGTAGCAAAGACGGTCTCTGTCCACTAGAATTGTTGGAAGTTGTAAGGAGGAAAATGAATTCTGTTACTGCTTTGCACGTGATTGAAGGTGGTGATCACTCGTTCAAGATTGCAAAGAAGCACCTACATTCTATAGGATCGAACCAAGAGGCAGCAGAAGATCAAGCCGTTCAGGCCATTGCAGCTTTCATCTCTACTAATCTAGGAGAAAGGTGACCTTCCGATGCTCAACCTTTTTTTGAACCTTTAAGGTCAAATGGATGTGTTATGTCTTGTCTAGGCATTTTTGTACATACTTTATTGCCTTCTGTAATGGTGGTCAGTCGCTTATTTGGTTTGGTTGGTTCGTGAATATGGCTCCTGAGCTATGGAAATTTTTGTTAAGGATGTGAGTCATGTGACACCTCATTTTGTGAACTTAATTTGATATTAGTTTCTTGTTTTATTGTCAAAATAAGTAACTTCATTTTTGGGTCTGGAACAATGATAAATTATATTTAAATCATTGCAGCAAAATGGTACTCTGCTACTGAAAATGAATAAAGTATCATCTTCCAAGCAAAAAGATTGTAAATATTAAAAAAAACCTACTTGAAAGAATGCCATAGCAAAAGAAATTTGCATAATCTACGCTTCAAAAATATATCAACTCAGACATGAATGCTGGGACAAGACCATGGAAAATATGAACAAATATTGCATAATGAATTTAATTACATCTCGTGTACAAAGTGCACCGGGCAAGATCTAGGACAACAATTTTTACAGTCATGCACCACGGGTAGGAAACTCGACCTTATTGACCTTTTGAGCAAGACTTTCGCAAAGAAATTGCTGGCAGACAATATGATATATACACGTGTAACTATGGTGAGGGGAGAGTACCAGGACAATAACATTTGTCCCTTAGATTGACGACTTTTTTTCCCCTTTGATTCCAGATGCAGCCTTGGATTCATCTTCTTCCTCGTTTTTTGCCTTTCTAAGAGCCTCCCGCAGACCCAACACAATGAACAAGTTTGTCAAAGTGAGCAGTGACTCAGCTCCACCATGCAACCAATCGACATTGGACAAGGATGTCCCGTAATGCACCTTTGCTGTCCCAAGAGTACAAATAAAGAAATTTTATTACAAACCTTATACTAAAATACGAGATTTACTTCATATAGTCATTGGACCGAGTAGGGAAAAGTTACCGTATATCCCTGCCGGTACTGCGCCGTGGAGGTGATGCAGCAAGTACAGACAAGGAAATAGTCAGTTATAGCAGTATGCACTTGACAGTATAAACATGTATAATACTGAAAAAACAAATGAATTTATTATGACTTTCAGGAAACATGTAAAACAGGTCTGATATGGAATTAGTAGTCTTCCATTCAACACTAGGTTCATTCTTCTCGAATGCAATTCTAAGGTTCCAATCAAAGGAGACAAAAAGAAAGGGTTCAAGTCAAACTGCCTTATCCATGTATCACACTTTGAGAAAATAAACATGATGTGCATGTGATTTTCAGATGAGGTGGTTCAACACAGTCCATTTCAAACCGCGTAGGGAAGACTGCCACAAACGTCAGCTAAGCTAAGTCTAAATTTTCCAAGTACATCAGCCAATGCCCCCTTCAGCTCCAGACTCCAGTAGAATCATGGGGTGCTCCAACAAATTGACCTTAACTTCACCTCTTTCCTTACCTATTAAACCTTGCATCAAATATTCTACAACGTACACGATACTTCACAAACTTCAGACATTTCAAGACAAATATTTAATAAAGTTAAAAAACAGCCATAAACCAAAAAAAAAAAAAAATTTATGTATATATATATATATATATTGTTAAACCACCTCATCTCAAAACTTAAACAGATAGACATGGAACATATTTATTATTTAAATTTAATCTTCAATGCTACCCCTCACATACATACAGAATTCAAGTCTCATTAAGGACATGACACAGGCAAAATAATCATAAATAAATGGGTGACAATAAAACTTCTAGTCTGATATCATATTCAACCACCATATGAAACAAAATTAAGTTATCTAAACAAATAAGCATGGATTTAACAAAAAGAAAAAGGAACTCACTGGTGGCACCGACAAAGGCCAGCAAGAAGTAGAATCCAAAAAGGGTGAGTTTTGGGGCAGACTTGGATTTGGTGATGAAATATAAGAAACCCAGGTAAGGAAACAGAGAAAATGCAAATAGCTGTGAGGCTATGCTCTCTGAATCAATATTGGGTGCCCATGGATCCACTGGCAAAATAAATCCATTACACAAAAACCCTTTTCCCTTTCTATGAATTCCTCTTCTTTCATATTCTATTTCAGTTTCTGTACAGTACTTGAATTGCCTCCGGGGAAACATATAGGTTTCTCTGCTGCAGGGATTCTGGTGGAAATTACTACAATTGGGCAACAAGTAAGAAGAAGAAAACCCCATAAATTTAGGGTTCTTGAAAAGGGAATGAATTTGCATAGAGCTTATCATTGCGAGGGAATTAGTTTTTCCTTTTTCTACGGCTATTACTCAATATCATCTAGCAGAATGAGAGGTCACCAAATGGAGAGTTGAGTGGATTTCATGACTCCGGTTTTATTTGGAAAGATTGAACCATGGGTTGTTGACTTATTATAATATTTTTTTTCAAAAATGATAAATTTCAGAAACCTTACGTGAAGTTTATGACAATTTTAAAAATTTCAAAATTCGATCTGAAGTTGTTTTTAATTAGGGATTCTTTCCTTATTAGTCAAAAGTATTTTTTTTATTTTTTATTTTGCCCTTAGTCCTCAGTTATTAATTTTAATATTTTATATCCTTGTCTATTCTCTTTTTTCCTTCTCTCTTTGAGATTTTTTTTTGTATAAATACTAAAATTCTCTTTAGTCAAAATAAATATTACTAAATTTATGTAATAATGTTTGAATCAAATTAAATTTTTATCTGTATTTTTGGTATTGCTCACAATTATAGGGATGATAATGGAGTGAGCAGGGACGGATACAGGGGGCTAGGCTGGGTGTAAAAACTTTTTTCTTTAGCGTATTAGCCTCAATTTGAAATTTTGTAGTCCGGTCTGGGATCCAATCGTGGATTCGTCCCTGGGAGTGAGGACATATTAGGGATGGTCCTCCCCTACCTCATATTATATGTACACGATAATTTATATAATGGTTTACATATACATGATGTAATGACATATAATTAGGTCAGAATTCTTTCGACCAAATTTTTTTTTAAAAAAATTCACCCTCTTTTTGACATATCATCCGCATGTAAACTATTATATAATCCAACTATATAAATGACGAAATTTCTCACCTTGTCCTGCCCACTTCGAATCGTGTTTTGCTTTTATATTTTTCAACTTAAATTGAATTAGAAAATAAAAATCAATATATAAAAATAAATAATTAATTAAACGAGGATGATAAATGAAAATATTTTAATCTCTTGCTTGTCCCTGCCTCCTAAAAGCAGGATGATTGCTCTGTCTCCTTATTATTCATATATCCTCATTTTCTTATTTATTGGAAAAAAAATTTGTTGTACATCACCCTTTATTTGATATTTTGTACATTGATGATGTGTCAAAAAGAAAGTAGAGAGTTTCTTTTTGAGTAATGCTATTTGTAGATAATAAAGTAGATAATGGTGTACATAATGATGGCATGGAGGATACAAAAAGATTATAATAACTTAATTTCTTTTCTTTCCGTCACTTTTCTCTTCCTCTCACTTCCATGTCATCATTATGTATACTATTATGTACATTATTATGTATACTATTATGTACATCAAATAACATAATTTTTTTATTTAATTGATAAAATTTTGATTCAATCAAATCTCATATCATTTGTTGATAAGCAAATCTGTAAGTTGAGATGTACACGTAGTACAACTGTATTTATTTGCCCATGTTTGGTCCCCATTTTCTAAAACTTATTTTCAAGCAAACATTTAGTGGAACCCAAATTTTTATTAACTTTTCAACCATTTATTTTATTTCAAAAAATTGATTTTTTACTAAACCAAACATGAGTTTGATTTTGTAGTATATATATTTTAATATTATTAAATTTAGAAATGTAAATATATAAAATGAGAAATAATTGACCGGACGGGACGAGACATTTCGCCATCCTATACTGGATTAAGTTTAAGATATTTTTATGAGGAAATTAAAGCATCACATGTTATTAAGTCATAAATCCAAAATCAACTTTAATAATACATAAATCAGGTTTTAATTAATAGTTTTTAAATTAATTTTTATTTAAATCAATCCTATATTCCTATGCAATTTCAAACCATAATTATTTTATTTTCACTCCTCTCTCTCTCCCCTGCCGACCCATTTTCTCTTCCATCTCTCTCTATCCACACCGCCACCATCCTGCCGCCACCACCACTTCATCCATTTTCCTTCAATGTGTAACCCCTTATCACCATTAAGTTTTCTCTTTAGTGGGAGATTTCGAGATTTTTTCATGGCAGTAAAGGAGAAGGATAATAAGGCTGTTAATGGAGTTAAGGAGAAGGCTAACAATGTTGTTAATGGCATTAAGGAGGTGCACTACAGGGCGTGAGGAAGAGGCTGTGGGGCCATTATGCGGAGGAGATTCGTGATGCTGGGAAGAAAAGTCGTGTTTGATTGGGCACGTTCGACACGGCGGAGGCGGCGGCATGTGCTTACGACACCGTCGCTCATGAGTTCCGTGGACGTAAAGCTAAAACTAACTTCCCTTTACCATCAGAGGTGCACAGTCCTAGCCAGAGCATCATCATAGAGTCATCAAGCGCCGAAGCAATGAATATTCATCCACCGGTTGAGCTTGATCTCATGTGCCTCCTTGGAGTAACTTCCACAGCCACCACTGTGAATGGGTATCAGTTTTTTGGTTACCAACCAGCCATGGCAGTTTTGCCACTGGACATTAAGGTCTTTACCAACCAGTCATGGCGGTTGCGATTGGGTGTGTGCGGTGTTGAGGGCTGTGTCGTGGGTGGGATGAGATGGACGTGGGTGTTTTGACCAATTATTTGGTTGATTGTGACCAATAATTGGTTAATTTTTGACAAATTAATAATGTGTGACCTAAAAATTGTGACCGTGACTCACAATTTATTAAGTTATAATCGAGTTGTGACCAATAAAAGTAATTTGTGACCTATAATTTGATATTTTCTTATACAATTATGTCTTAAACTCATATTTCTGAGCTTTCCATTACAGATAACTTCGTATCTCATCAAATATAGCTAGCCAAAGATCGATTCATTTAATATATACAAATTGTCACCTATTAAGAAATCTTCTTACGAAGCTACATGTTTATTTATCTAAAACTTTATCAATTTCCAATCACGGTTGAAGGATTTCTATTAAACACTACACTAGTCAAACATATTTACTAGTGAATTTCATAATCATGGGTTTTTTTTGTGACCTATAATTTGATATTTTCTTATACAGTTATGTCTTAAACTCATATCTCTGAGCTTTCCATTACAGATAACTTCGTATCTTATCAAATATAGCTAGCCAAAGATCGATTCATTTAATATATACAAATTGTCACCTATTAAGAAATCTTCTTACGAAGCTACATGTTTATTTATCTAAAGCTTTATCAATTTCCAATCACGGTTGAAGGATTTCTATTAAACACTACACTAGTCAAACATATTTACTAATGAATTTCATAATCATGGGTTTTTTTATATTGAACTACTACAATGCATTTATGAATACTTGATAAGTGTATTTTGTACACTTATCTAAGTCATAAATCAGAGTTTTGTTAATGATTTAGATTATTTATAGCTTAATTTTGTGTTAATTATGTTTGTTAGGTTGAACTCAATGTAAATTGGTAGATTTGGAAGAAATGAATGAAAAACGTGCGAAAACGATGGAAATTAACAGTTTGGGGACAAAGTGTAACATCCAATAGTTGATTCAGAGCACAAAATGATAATTGAAAATCATATAGGATCAATTGGAAGTCAAATGAGTGAAATATAGTGTAAGTATTTTCACAAATCAATTTCTAGCCAAAAAAGTTATGCTATGAATTTTCATTCTCAACTTGAGACCCATTTTTTGGATAGCAAATGTTCGAAATGGAAAAACTGTATTTATAGAATAATTGTAACCATTTGAATTAAATTTTTAACGTATTTTGAATCAACTCAATCAGATACCTTTAGAAAAAGTTATGGTCAAAATACCGAAAGCTGCTCAAAGATGAACCTATGCAAGCAAGGGCAATTCATGGCACATGCGCAACACCTTATTTTCCCCAACCCAATAGTCATTTGGTTCTACAACTCGCGCAGCAGTTATACTGGTGATGCACACGGACATTTTTTGCAGACAAATCTTTAGTTTCCTTTAGCGATTCAAACTCTTTAGGAAACCAAATTTGACGGATTTTGACCTATTTTTTGGCTCTTATAAATAGAGAACGAGGGATACACAGAGAAAAAAATCTCTTACCTCTTCATACACAATAGTTTCATCAACTTCATCAAGAACAAGAGATCAATTGTTATATTTTGAGAGAGGAGATCAAACCCTAGCAATGAATTGATGTCAATTACATCAAGATTTTGAAATCTTGAAGAATTCAAAACCTTGATGTGATCAACGTCTTTGAATTATTTCATGATTTGGGTGATATTTTTCTATTATTCTTCTTATAATTTATATATTAACATGATAGACTAGATTCGTTTTTGTATTGGATGAAGATGAACCTTATTTGTTATTTGTTTTAATTCAAAATTAGTAATTTAGTTTATTTCTTACGTTTCATGATTAATTTTGCAAACCCATTACATTATTTAATTGATTGGTAACCAATTAGATAATTAGTTGCTTATTGTAGCGTCGAGAGACTCACAAGTTTAGAACGCGACAAAATTAACATATGTGCAATAAATGTTAGGAATAACATTTATCACATGTGCAATCATATAGATAATCTAAATTTTAATGCATTTTAATCATTTGAATTTGGGTTAGGAATAGTTTCGGATCGTGGTTATGATATATTTAATTTGTCTTGAAAAAGAAAATTATATATTATAGTTTTATCGATTGTCAAGAACGTATGAATGAAACTAGATTACAAATCAAGAATTGAAATATATAGCAATAAGCGGATTCGAGATCCAACACAATCATCCATAAATTGATAAAAATCACATTTTTACCGCTTTCCTAGATCTATTTAACATAAAATAAAATCAAACTCTATTTTATTTACATAATTCGAATACCATAAAGTTAGTAAACTTAAATTGAATTTATTCTCTGTGGAGACGATACTCTCAACTCATCAATTATATTACTTGTCAACGATATCGTACGCTTGCGAGTTTTGCACGAACAATATTCTTCAAATATTTCAATTTACATATCTAAACAAACGCCATAATTGATTTTCAACTCATTTTATTTATTTTAGATTTAGTGTATATCATCCTTATAATTATATAAAAGTTTTCTATCTTTTCACTTCATGGACATTCTTCTATGACTATAAGGTATATGAAAATTGAACTTTTGAACTAACTTACCCCAACAATTCCTCAAATGGGAATTAATGTATAATGTCTTGAACTTTTCATATAAGTTCGCAAACATTTAATGTTAACCCCCACATTTTTGGGTTATACTTGCACTTAGAGTTCATAAATTCTTTCATATTTAATTTAGTTAAATAGATAATGTCCTTATCGAATGCTTCGTGAAAGTTTAAGTACTTTCAAAATAGTGGTCATTAATTCACAATTTATTTCAAATGAAATTGCATACAATGTACTTCAATTCAACTGCATTTAACTTGATCATACACAATTTGATCAAGGTCATCACATAGACCAACAATGCTTTTTCAATCATAAGCCAACTTAATTGGTTTTACAGATTTTAGTGAAGTATAGTACAATGAAAAGGACTAAGCATCTTGATTCACAAGAATTGCAACTTCTCCAAACATATGCAATTTATCAAATTTGTGACATTTCACATGATAATATTATTTCATGTCAAATCATGGGGGTACCAATTCCCCCTATTTACCGTATTCCAACTTGAATAAATGAATCCAACATAAGTTGAAAAGTTGTGTTCTCAAAAGAAACAATTCTACAAAAGTACATACTTCTTGTCATTAATCTCTATGAAGAAACACACAAATTGAAAAATAATCATACCAAAAGTTATGATATTTCATATGAAAAAACACATATTTGCATCTAAATTAATTCTAAAATATTTCATAATATTCTGTATGATTTTCCAACAATTCCAAGTAATTAAGCGGCGTGATTCTCATTACTAAATAATGATTTCAACTTTAATTAAATTAGGACAAAATCACATTTGTCATACTCTTATGCAAATATAATTGTACATAAATCATCTCACTTAATTTTATCAAATTAACTAAGGCTATCGTCATTAACCAAAGTTAACAAGATATGAAATCAACCAACTAATTTACCATTTTCATATTCCAATTAAAAGGAATCTCATGAAAGTTCATATACTTTCAACAAATAGTTGGCATTCTTTCAATATTTTTACATGTCTATGTGGCGAATATGCTACTCGTAGTCACCACACTACTATATGACAAAACATTCCTTTAAATGATTATGGGTTAACAATTAAGGAACATCAATTATTCCTTCCAAAACATATTTTCATGTGAGTAGATCTGTGCATACTTCAAAAAAAAAAAATGCAAATGAACCAATACACGTATTTAAAGTCACAAAGTTTCAAACCATTAATTTCAAAGGACACACTTTCCCACATTTCAATTATTTACAACAAATCAATAATTTATTTATTGAATATGCACATTTTCATCATTTCATCGTGTAAACACCTATTCACATGTACGTCAATTTTTATTTGAATGAATACAACTTATAATAAAAGACCAATCATTTTCATTCACTTCGATATGAACAAAACATATATCATATCATGAAAACACATACTCATGCCCTTTTATAGATGAAAACAGATAATTGCATGCCATTTCATGCACCCATACAAATAAATTTATGCTACACGATTTCAAGTAGATCACACCATTTTCAGAAATAAACTATCTTTAATGGGAAAAAAATACATCTTACATCTTTCCACAACAGCACACATATTTAATTTTCCAACCAAAATATATTATATAACTCCATAAATTTTGGCTCCAATTATTTATGCATGAATTCAATTGATAATATCAGAGTAACATCATCCACCAATCATTTTGAATTAAAGGAAATGAATTATATAAATCCATATTGATGAATATAATAAAACTTATCTGATGTTTCCGATTACCCTCTATTACATCTCTTTTTAACAGGAACACATTGCAGTTTAGAAATACATGAATATGGATTCATCACTTGATTGTAGCCATCGTGGTTCCATTCTCCATTGCAAAATTATCGTTTGAGAATGTTGGAAAATATTGCTTCCACTTAAAGGGGTTGAAGAATAAACCAAAGAATGTAATCAATAACTTCAAAGAACAATAAAAAAAAAAGGCTCAAATACGAAAGTGATATCGTTGTCCTCAAACAATATTTGCCTTCTCTCGAATTGAATTTGGTACTTAAGGGGTTTTTTGGCAGATGGTTTGTAGGATTTATCAAGCCTTGTAATAGAAAAACACTTAAATATTTAATGTTTTCTACCAAAACTTAAAGAACACATTGAGAAATTTTGAATATGTATGAAAACAATTTTTCACATTTGGAATGGATTATGATTTCAATGGATTTCTATATTGTTTTCAATATATTTGGTATTGATCTCAAGACATCTATTTATAGATCTCCATCAATACCAACGAAATGGAGCCAAAAATTCATGAAAAGTTGTCACCAAAAGTCGCAACAAATTCAAACAAAAAGTTGACCTAACAGGTACTTTTTTGTTCCATGCGACCGCAGTCGCAACAACCCTACGTGGTCGTATAGAGGAATCATCTGTATGGTTTGAAATCCATGCAGGTCTATATGCGACCGTATTTCAGACAAATTATGCGGTCGCGTAGCATATACTTTTGTCCCTCAAATCCATTTCTCATTCCAAATCCAATTTTATTAATTTTGAACAATAATTTCATCATACATTGTGGAAATTATTTATTGCAGAAAGAATATTTCAATCTTAAACAGTAACACACAAAGTATGGATCACATGGTCCTAGGCAAGAATCGCATTGGCGTTAAGTCGAACGCTATTTTTAGTGTACATCACTTGATCAGAATTTCCAATTAGATATTGGTGCACATTTTCTTTGTAGATTAGAGCAGATGATGTTTATCGAGGAAAGAGAGAAATAATAAAATATTAATAATAAGGAACTTCTTGCAACACCTTGGAACTCTGTAGTTGTATAATGTTTAAATGACTATTTGTTTGTTGCAATCCCTATTTGACCATGGGTGGACCTACTTGGGGCTGCCCCTGCTGGATTTTGTGGAAAAATCAGTTGGAGATATAGAAAATTTCAGTTTCTACATTGTGTCTCTCTAATTCCAAAAGCTGCATTTCTTGATGGTGAAAATGACCTTCGAAGCTTAGCTGAAGCCGACTCCTTTGGTAATTTCTTTCCTATAATTGTTTCTGCTCTTGTAGGAGAAATAGAAATAGAAAGTCGACACAGCAAAATTGAGAGGAATTCGGTGGGAATTGGGGTAAAGGAGGAGGGGAAATTGTGAGGGGGATTTCATTTTTGGGGGAAAGGAGGAGGGAAAATGGAGGTGTTTGGGACAAAAAATGGAAGGGAAATTAGGAACGGTGGTGTTGGTGTTGGTGGTGGTAAAATGTTTGAATGGTCACTGAACTTTAACATGGTCATGACTTACTGAACTTCAAATTGCCTCTTAATAGTCACTGAATTTTCTGTCGTTGCACCATATCCAACACTCACCAAATTTCATTACCATCGAAGCTGAAGTGGCGGACGAAAAACACACGTGGAAGATGACGGCCATTAAAAAATGACAACTCAGCTAAAACATTGTTTCATTACTCATCCAACTTACATTTCGTCACATTTCACTCATCGAACTTCAAAATGATTCCCAATTGTCACTCATCTTTGAAATGTTGCATTCTATTCATCATCCGCATATTTTGTTCACTTCATTCCTAATGTTCGCACAAAAANGACTTCCACACTTCATAAACTTCTTTAAAATCTAATACAGAGTCCCCAAACAAGTTATGTTTCAGAGTTTCAGTTTCTGATTGAAACATTTTTTTTTTTTTGCAGAGTAAATGTTCGAATTAGAAAAATAATATTTCTAAAAGAATTATTGGGGACGCTTTATTGAGTTTTAAAGAAGTTGATGGAGCCGTGGAAGTCACGTTTCATATATGATATTTTGGTGAGTTAAGTTTTGTTGAGTTGCAATTTTTTTTAACATTTGTAACTTATCGGTGGAATTTTTGTGCAAATATTAGGAACGAAAGGAACAAAATATGTGGATGATGAATAGAGTGCAACATTTCAAAGATGAGTGACCATTGGGAAGCATTTGGAAGTTTGATGAGTGAATTGTGACAAAATGTAAGTAGGATGAGTAATGAAACAATGTTTTAGCGGAGTTGACATTTTTTAACGACCGTTATCTTCCACGTGGGTTTTTCGTCCGCCACGTCAACTTCGATGGCAACGGAATTTGGTAAGTGTTGGATGTGGTGCAACGGTAGAAAGTCCAGTGACCATTAAGAGGCAATTTAAAGTTCAGTGAGTAAGTCGTGACCATGTTAAAGTTTAGTGACCATTCAAACATTTTACTGTGGTGGTGGTGGAGGAGGCAGAAAAAAGAGATTTTTTTTTTCTAATTATTATAATTTATTTGGCATTTGTTTGCTCTTTTTAAATAAATTTGAGATTATGATTACAATTAGTTTTTATCTTTCTTTTTTATCATTTTTGTTTTATTTAAATATGATGCTATATTTGTTATTTTACAATTTTTTATTGAGAAATTGAATGAAAACGAATGGAAATGATGATTTCCGCAATGAAAGGTAAAAATAGGAATAAAAATGCAAAAAAAATATATATATACAAGTTTAGAACGTTTTGTACAATGAACTTCAAACTTAAAAGACTTTTGTGCTAATAATCCCATATATAACTTGACATCAAAATATTCTCCTTATTTGAAGTAGAAATTAACTATAAAATAGAAGGCTATTCCAATGTCTTTTTCAACTGTTGCGTCTTTGATATTATTCAAAATGACATTATTTTATTGATAGTTGGGATGTTAACCGTCAACCGTGTGAAGTGAACTCATATTTCGTCTATTTTTGCAATATAAAAACGCCGGTTGTTAAGGGATAAATTCTCATATTGAATAAAGATAAAAATATGGAATACATGACTTAACAATGTAGACCTTTTAAGATAGAACCCCAAATCTTAATATCGGCCCGGCCAATTACCCGAAGGAGAGAAAAATAAATACGCAGGAAGTACACCGTTAATTTAATATCACCTTGTTTAGACAAATAGTCTTCATCGATTTTAGAATTTTCACACGTAATCGCGAGTAGAATCAGAAACAACATTGATAATCAGCCCATTGTTATTTATTTTCTTATTAATTCTTCATAAACCTATATGAGCAAAAAAAACTATAAAATCTACTCTTTGCCTTTTTTACCTTATCTTTGGTATCGAAAAACTTCATCTTCATGCCAGTTGTTTCCTTCTCTGATGATCTTGATGCGCTCGATTCAGACAAAGCAGACGAAGGCAACACCATCACATGCCTCTTTGATGTACTCGATTCAAACTGACTCGGCAACACCATCATGTGTCTCTCGATGAAGTAAGTAAATGAAACTAACTCGAAAGAATCATACAAAGGACTCCCACAATCCCATATAGATGCAGCAGCTTCTTCTTCTTCTTTCTCCATAAG